AGAGAGAGAGAGAGAGAGAGAGAGAGAGAGAGAGAGAGAGAGAGAGAAAGAGTCAATATCATCAACAAAGAGAAAAACACATGTGAAACCTTTACAAATTTATTCACAAGAAATGCTATTAAACGGAAAATAGCAGAAAATGTTGTTGGTGGTGATGATGACGATGATTGGTAATATATTGTAATATTCATCAACTGAAAGTACTCCATTTAAAATGACACAAATAAATGGAGCATAAACCACACAAAATGTTATTTTTAGCAAATAAAATCAAATGACAATACTTTATGAAGCGCCATTTCGAATGGTCGACTGAACTGTACACCGTACACGAACAATATTAACATGCATCTAATTTTTTTGCCAAAAAATGAATGAGACATTCAAAAAAAAATCCGAACATTTTTCGAAAATCGAGCATTTTTTTGAAAATCGAAATTATATATTTTTTTGAAAAATAATGTCAACACCACGGAGCTAGTCACTACACTTGACTTATATTCAATACCTGTTAATAAGTTCCGTATTAGCCATTGGCACCGAACAATATCTCAGTGAATCAATGCCAATTTTTTTTTATTTAAAAAAACATTGGCCGAATTTGACTCCAAAAATTCTGTATTGTATTTTTAGATGATGAGAACTGAGGGAAAATCATCTTTTTTCGACTGTTTGTCATGTTCAATTCACCAAACGCCTCATTCTTTGCGATGTAATTAAAAATTGGTACGATTTACACGCATCGATATGTCATGGCAATAAATTGCATTTAGAAAAACTTTTTTTTTGTTGAAAAAAATGAAGCAGAAACCACTCGCTTTATGCATGCCAATATCGAGACGATTTACATAGTATATACAGTTATACACATTAGTTGTAAGCGAAATGTTAAACAAAGATGTTATGCGATTCGATGAGCATGTTCCAAAACATGCATGTGACACGATTTGTGCATCGAACAATTCTAGTTTAAATTACATGCTGACTGCCATGAAAGGAATGAATATGAATGGAAAAAGGCTAGGGGCTTAATTCAGTGAAAAAATTCACAAAATTCACACGAATTCATTATGCATAATTTTGACAGTTCAGGCGTGCTAACAAGCCGCCATCTTGAATTTTCATGTAAAATTCATAACAATTCACTGAAATTCACCGAGATTCACATTTATTCCAAAAATTCTCAGACTCATTAAATTCATGGAATTCACAAAAATCCTTCTATTTGGGATTCGAATTAAGCCCCTAGGAAAAAGGTCATTGCACCTGATTTAAAAAAAAACCTTAACCGGCATAATCATGTTGAGCATCTTTTTGCTGACAAACACACACACATACATAATTTTTCTCTGAAAACGATTTTTAACAACAACTAAAAAAAAATAAATTGATGAAAATACGATTGTTAATTAAAATGCAATTCTTTGAATGTGAGATGAAGTTTAAGTTGAGTTGAGACAAGAAACAAAAAAAAGGAATAAACAAAAACTGGCTGACAAATCAGCACTTTGCTTTGACATCCATACTAATTTCTCCACATGATTAAAGGGAATTCAAAAATAACTACAACATTAAAAAAAAACAAATACAATTTTATGAAATAAAAGAAAACATATTCAATCACTAATAAATAATGTCATTACTAAAAATGGTCACACCAAAAACCGAATATATTACGACTACAAAAAAAGTAGATCAGAGACATGAAATTGCACTCAAATACAATTTAGAAAGGAACAAAATGAAAGAAAAAGAAGAAAAACACATAATTTCATTTCATTTGGTTCATCATCAGACTCGCGGACACCTGATGTCCTTTTCCCATTTTGGAAGAATAAAAAACTAGACCGAAATGAAATTGAACGATGTTAAGAATAAATAGGTAGCTTAAAAAGGGAAACGACTCCATAATTGAATTGATACACTGAATGAGTCCAATAGACTCAAAGAATACTTTTTTAAATAAAATGAAACGAAAACGGAACATTGAGAACACACAAAAAATGGAGATTTTCCGTTAGATTTTATAAAGAAAGTATATTAACCACCGATCTTGCAGGCTCGGAATAGATTTGGTGTTGGCGCCTTTGTTTTGTTTTTCGTATGTTCCGAAATTTCAAGAAATTTTGGCACGCTTCTAGCTCGCTTGCACACATTAAGCAATAAAAATATATTTGAAAATTTAACCGAAACTGCAATCTGTTTTTCACTTCAATAATGCTTGAATATTTTAATAGAAAATCTAGTTGATGAACAATTTCCAACAACAATACTAATAGCTCCACACAAAACAAAATAAAATATAGAAAACTTCACCGAACGAGATAGAAATGAATAGAAAAATGATGAACAAAAAGGAAATCAGAACTTATTGGGCTTCTATTCATACAAAAAATAAACTAAAGAAAATATGTTTAGAAAATGAAAACAATGTTGTAGTTTAGTTTTGTAAGTCTTAAAACAATATACATTTCGTTTTATTTCGTTCAATATATAAAATACCGAAAACAACATAATTCAAATGATAAAACGGAGATCGGGAACGCTACATAAACGAGTTAAAACAAAAAAAAAATAACATGCAAATTTTTAGTATGTAAACACATCTAATCAACAGCGAAATAATCAAATATAAATGTTAAAAACAGGATAGCAAAAACATTTAAATAAAAAATAACATAAAAATGAACATTAAAATGAAAGAACAGCAGAAAGAGGAAGCACATTTATCTCAAACATGATATGATAAAATAAATGGTTCATTTTTTATTATAATCCAACTTATTTAGAATGAAAGATATCATGCACCCCGGGAGTATTTGAACCGCTTTCTTTGGAGCCGCCTAAGCAAAACATACAGCAAACAAAACATAATTTGAAAAATGAAAAAGCCGTTGCGGTTGAAAAAATACAAGGCTTTTGTAAGTGGCTAGAAAGAAAACGACCCAAGAATATAGGGTGCCGAATATTTGTTTCTATTATATCAATATTAAAATTTAGTTTACAAGCTCTATATACATTTCGTTAATGCGAAAAATGAAATCCGAAAAAACTCTGCAGTTGATGGTTTAATTTATGTTTTTAGATTTGGCATCATTCAACAAGTTTGCTTCAATATTCGTAAAATAAAATAGAAAATCTTCGCCAAATAGCATTTGATTGAGAAACCCAAACCTTCTAATTATATCCAAGAAAACAGTCAACACATTTTCCAGAATTTGGAATTTTATTAAAATTTAAAGTAATCGAGATTTGAGTTCGAATGAAATATATGGCAAAGAAAATTTTCTAAAAAAAAAAACATTAAATGAACATCAAACGAAATATCTATCAAATGTTGAACATTTTTGTGCAAAACTTTCAACAATTTCAAAAAAATTTGAACAGTAAATTAAACATAAACTCCTCACAAAATTAAATAAACAATTTTATCATCTCAATCAAGATATTTCTACATTGATTTACAGTTTTCCTAGATTTTTTTTTTCATTTTTCTTCTCAATCCCCCCTCCAAATAAATATTAAATCCACATAAACCGTTTAAGAAACAAAATATATGAGTTTACCCTTTCATATGCATTATTATATACTCATGGTCAGAATTATAAACCCACACAAAAAAGCATATATGAACACTCACGTATGTGGATACCAAACGGCAGTCAGAACTCGTATTCAATAACAAAAAATGTATTCGGATTTTATAAAAACACATGGAAAACGATTTAATAAACTTCATTTAACTAAAGACAATTGTTTGTGTTTCTTTTTTTTTTCACCATTCGTCTTAAAAATGTGGGTGTCAAATTTTTGATCTTAAAAATGTTGAGATGCAATTGACAAATAATTTTAAGAATTCTTTTATGTCTTGTTCTGTTGCTTCATTCAGATGTTTTAATTTGTGTTTGACTAAAGTGTTGACAGAATTTTAATAGACATTTTTCTTGGTGAGGATAATTACGATGCAACCGAAATTCCGCTTGAAGAAGTGCCTGGATTATGTTCGGGGCTGATAGTTCGCATTAGTCGTGTTTTTGATTTATCCAAAATATTTGTTATTGTATTGAGGTTATCACGTCCAAATAATGAGACAAACGTTTCGATGGCATTGCGTGACTTTTCTTCCCATTTTGTGATACAATCACCCTTGACATCATTCATAACGCGCATTCCTTTGTTCCTAAGTTCATCGACCTTATTCTGGAATTGGCACTGTTTCTCTTTCAAAAAACCGACATTCAATTCCTTGGCGCTATAACCTCGTGCCAAATTTCGGCGTACATATATATCGTAATCCTTTACAATTCGAGTTATTATATCAGAGGTAGATACACCTGTGAATACACAGATTAATTTCATTCAAATAATACATTTTTCGTTCATATACCTTCGGTGCGTTGAGTAGCGGCAAACATCCCGCGTTCTTTGACTTTAGCATAAATATCGTTTTGATTACCACTTGTATACGGAATTTCGTCATGTGCAACAAAATCGATTTTATGCAATGTCAAAAAGTCATCGGTCAATTCCCATGGAGCGTCTGTTACAATCTGAGAATGTTTTTTTTTAAAATAGATTTGTGTGAATTCTATTCGCTTAAAATGTCCGTTGGAATTTTATATATACCTCATCGACATATCGACAATGTCGCACTCCTTCATATCGCTCTTTTTGATTCATTACGGTGCGGCCCTTTCGACTGTGAGTCAAAGTATCGTTGCAGATTCCGACAATCAAATAAACGTTTGGAAAGAGATTTTTTGCCTGCATATAAAAAGGATGTTATGATATTCTTATTCTTGGGATGAGTTCTTCGATGAGACGCAGAATGAAAAATATTCTTTATTCAAAATACAAAGTCTTCAATAACATATGAATTAAGTGCAAGAATTTACCTGCATGAGTTGATTTGCGTGTCCTTGATGGAAAAGGTCGTAAATACCTAGCAAATTAAAGTTTTGATTATTTACAATTGAACAGATTATTATTTAAGTAAATCTTAGAGTAAATCAAATATACTTACCATCGGCATATACACGTACCCGACGAGGTGTATTGCCAGATTTTGCCATATCGAATGTAATTTTTTTATTATAATCACACGTTTCACGTTCAACTTTCGCATCTGCGTCATCCCAAAATGAAGCTGGCTAAAAAATATGATAATATACATTATTTAAAAAGCAATTCATCAAATTAATAAATAGCAAAAAATACGTGAAAATGACGTTTTTAGTATTTAAATATCAATAAAACTGTTTGTAAAATAAATCATCATTTTGAGAATCAATCACTTCTGTATCGAGTGGAAATGTTACAGACCGATTAAATTTTTAAAAAAAATGAAAAAATGTGCTCTATTGACTATATCAATGTATCTTTCGGCATGAATGACATGCAGCGAATTTGAATCGATACATTTTTTGTGAAAATAAACCCAATGTTTCGAACTCACCGCACTGCTACTAGATGACACCGTTGGATGGTGTGCCTAAAAAAATTGTTATTAAATAAAATGAATTTTGTGTGATGGTTGTGCTTGAAATTTCTAACCCTAATGACCACAAAGATTGCAAATAAGCACAAAAAAATCTTCATCTTGGGTTAAAATGCTATGTCGTAACGTTCAGCTGTTAATGGTGACTCCACTGCTAATGCTGGATATCTTATATACTTTTCAGAACGAGATAACGTAGCGAAAAATTCCGTCTTAAAAAAAAAAACAAGGCGAAAACATGTTTTTAATAATATTTATTTATTTATTTTATTTATTCACTTTCGATTTTAAGCATCTAAACCATGTCTTTCAATTTAAAATCATTTAACTCAACACATTTGTTCAAATATTATTCGTATTTTCATTTTTATTATTTATTATATCAGGTGATCATCGTTCGATTATACTCATCGTATTAGGCTTAATGGGGCTGAATTATCTAATAGTAATAAAGTATTTTTGTTTTTTTAGATTTTTTTTAAATACAGAAGGACTTTGCTATTCAAGAATTCAACTAATTTAATATCGTGTATTCAGCAAATAAATTGTGTTTAGACTATTCAAAATTCGCACAAAGCACATATTCCATTATTTTCATGACAACCATAGCTGATCAATTTTTATTCATATATCGACCTAAAAAAAATTCGCCATCAAACTAGATGTATCTGCTTTGAATCTGAAAATGATAAACATTTGCAGGAAAAGTGCTGTATGAAATGCCTGAAGTTGGAAAAGCCTACCTATACAGTTTTTAATGTATTTTTAACCAACGTGATTTTTTCAGCTGAAAAAGTCATTTTCTCAAAAGTATATTTCTGCCTTAAATTAGCATAGCTTCTGAGTAGGGTTCGGATTACCACCCCTTCTGTGGAGAATGGATTGCGAATTTACCCACTCACCTCAGCCTGCTGCATTTATCCTTTGTATTTATTAAAATTGTGCAACATATTACAATTTCTTTGCGACTTTTTACTGATAGCCTTTATAAATATCGAAAAATTACGTCGATTTTCTAGGGTTTTCGGTAAATTTTTCGGAGACCAAATTAACCCCCCTAGATTTTTCGAAAATTTTGGAATCAGCCCGGGGCATTTGCACCGTGCGTCAGTTACGAAAACACACGAAGAAAGTAGTGCATTTGCATATACGATTCGTGCCTTGCGTCTTATTCTTTATTCCCCTTTTTCTTTTTTTTATTTTTTTATTATGTAGCGTAGCAGCCTTTGCCATGTAAACAGCTGAAAAAGGGGAACAACGAATACGACGCAAGGAATGAAGCGTATACGCACATATACTATTTTCTTCGTGTGTCGTTCCGTATTCTGTTTCGTATTTTCGTAACTGACGCACGGTGCGAATGCCCCGGGTGAACAGTGCAAATTGAGTGCTTGGGGTGTTTAAACAAAATTTTGAATGACACCAAGCTCCACGTTTTCATTCGAAATTTCACATTTTTTAAAAGAAAACACAAGAAAAAAGCCTTCACTATACTCCACGTGCAAATAAAAAAATTGAACAAACAAATAATGAATTCGTCTTACCAACGCAATGAACGATGAAAAATTGGTTTTTGCTTTTTAAATTTCGGTAAAATTATAAAGTATTATATCATTATGCTAATAATAATAATGGATATAATTTACACAGTAAATCCTCGATTCTCCGAAAACCACGATTCTTTCATTCAACAATTTCTCAATATGCTAAAATATCAGATTTTGTGTTACCAGTAAACGTTCAAATATGTTACATCCCGATTTTCGATTTTTTGCATTTAATCGGTAGAGAGTCCCAAAAAAAATATAATTTGAACCATTTTTGCCCAAACTCATATTTGGCTTTTTTATGCCCCTCGTTTCCATGGGTACCATTAACTGATCACGATGATCTATGTCATAAACGATTGGAGATAATCGATTACTTTCTTGGGCAAAGTTGTAG